TGAATCTTTTATTCAACCTTTACTATTTCTGTCCACATCACTGATTTTATAAAAGTCTCACTGTGTCTGGTGGTACTACTAGAATGATCATCATCATCGTTATTAAGCTTTTGTTATTATGAATAATGACACCACTTCCCCCTAGTATTTGCTTGATGACTTTCTTCCAGAGTTTTCTGTCCTCCCTAGGAAATGAAGTAAAATGCTAGCTGACGATTCACCCATCTTGTACTAAATTTTCTGTATACATGAACTCTGCCAGTAATTCTTTCCCTATAGCTGCTACAAGAAGTGCTCACCACACATTGCCTAACTCTGAACCTGTGGTTTCTCTTGCAGACTCTGGTTTCATCCCACCCTCCATAACCTTGGATTCTCTTTTATCTGCAGGAACATTCAGTAGAAATACACAAAGCATTCCTTGCTAGCCATCCAGCTGTGAACAGTTTGTGTCCAGTATTGCCACTCAGATTCTGAAGTCCTGGGCACCAGTTCCCACTTCTATTTCTTTCACAAGCAGCACATCTACCACCCGCTAGCTCACTCCACTCCATCTATGCACAAACTCCTTGGTATCCTTTTTCAGCTGCTTTTAAAAGATTAGGTGTCATTTTGGATAATAATGGTAATAACATAACCAAAACTCCTAAGTCCTTACCATGTTTCATCGACTGCTCTAAGTGTTCTTGCCTATGCTAACTCATTTAGCCTTTGTGAGAATCCCACAAGGTGGGTGCTTTCGCTGGGATATTTGACCCCTCCAAACCTCACGTGGAAATTTGATCTCCCATGTTGCAGGTGAAAGGTTTTTGGGTCACTGGGGGTGAATTTATCACGAATAATATAGATTACTGCTCTCCCTCCCAGAGTGGGTAAGTTTTTACTTTATTAATTCCCACAGGAGCTGGTTGTTAAAAGAGCCTGGCATTTCCCCCCACCCCCACCCATCCTCTCACACTCCAGCTCCCCTTTGCCTTCCTCTATGAATGGCAGCAGCCTGAGGCCCTCACCGGAAGCCAGACAGATGTCAGCGCCATGCTTCTGTATAGCATGCAGAACGGTGTACTAAATACATCTTTTTTCTCTAAAAATTATCTGGCACAACACAAAAGAGACACAAGACAGCGGTTGTTACTACCCCATTTTATGAATGAGAAAGCTGAGGCACAAGGAGGTTTATGATTGCCCAAGGTTCATAATGGGGGAGCCAGGATAAGAACTCAGGTGGGATGGCTACAGAACCCACACTCAAAACCACTATGCTGAACAAGGTTTTTAAGAGGTTTTCACATCACGTGGCTATTGCTGTGGCTGAAAGATGTCCATTTTCTCCTCATCTCTGAATCATTGAATGGCAATATTTGGGTTGAGTTAAACAATTAAAAATATCTGGGAAAAAGAACAGATGCCTGGAGATAGAGCTAAAGGAGAAGAACCTGAAGATATATTTTGGTAAAAGACTATAACCTTGAAAGACAGTGGCTGATGTCAAAAAGAGCAAGAAGAGTTCCTTCCATTCCGTTGAGGAAACACACTGTCTCCTACCCAAGAGACAGGCAGAACAATGAGCCACCCAAAATGTAAATGAAGGTAGGGGAGTGATAAAAAGGATGATGCTTTTCAAAAATGCTTTGACTCTGTGGAAGATTTTCTAGACTGACCTGCTGAATGGGTAGCTTTCTGTCATTGCTCACCTTTGCATTGGCATGAATACTTCCAGGGTGAGGTCACTTAGGGTTTTCTTTACTTTGCATATCAGAGGTTTCTCGATGGCTGGATTTTCCTGCACTGCAGTGAACCTGTTTAGTAGTCTCTCTGGGATAGCCTGACCAAAGTTAAATTCTTTGAAGTGGAAGGACTCGGGTAGAAAAAAACCCAAGGACGAAAAATAAGGAGAGAATTGTCCTTTAGCAATTTTGAAGTACAAAATTTGTAAATGTAATTTGATTCCAAGTAAATGCTTAATCTCATTTGTCCCCTGCTATGGATGAAAAAAATGCATCTCTAACAAAACTGTCTACTAAAAATACTTTCTGTTTTTGTTTTGCAAGTGGTTTAGGACTATCTACTACTTTATGACACATTCTTTCATTTAGTAGACAAATATTTATCAAGTACTTATAAGGAGCAAACTCCTCACCTGTCTAGAATAGACACTGTAATTAGTTAATGTTTAAGTTAAAATTAGGTTAGTACTAAAAGAAACACAAAGAAAAAAATATTTTTAAAAATCTAAGAGTAAGTATTTTATGGTATGCTGCAAGAAAATAAACTGAAACAATTTCTCACTTTTAGCATATACATAATACTGAAATTCAGTCACAATGTTGTTTCTGGTGTTGAAAGTGGAATATTTCAACAGCTAACCAAGTTTTTTAAAGATGACAATTTTTGATGCCAAATAAGCTTCTTCTTTACAAATTGTTTTCTATGTCTGATTCGGAGAGGAAGATATTGAGAAGATGGGCCCAGCTTTTTTAACTTTTAAAAAAAAATCATTATTTTTCAACTATTATTTTCTTCAAAAAGGAATCTTTAGTTTTTCTCTGAGATTTTCTTCCATATTTTCTGCAATTCTAGTAGCAATTTGTGTACACTATGCTTTATAAAACTATAAATTCCTCAAAAGAAAGATATTTTGAAGAGTCTTCTTTATTGTTCCCTGTGTTTTATACATAGTAACACTCAATAAATACCTTCTGAGTCAACTAATGAATAAATGTATTCGGCTTACCTGTACCGTCATTCATATACTCTGTTTTCTTAAATAATGTCCTAGGTTCTCACATCTTCTTGTCTCTGCTTATGCTGTTCTCTGCCTAAGGCATATGTCACCCTTGTCAATCCTTCTCTGAATTCAAGGCCCAGTTCAAAGGACAACACTTGTAAGAAAAAAAGCATTTGTTTCCACTCACATCTAATAGCATTTTAGGCATAATTCCGTGATGACATGTAGCACTTGCATTATAGTAGTTACTTCATATTTCTCTAGATTACATATCCCTTAAGATAGGAGACTATGCCTGAATCATTTTGAATCCCTGGAAAAGGTGTTTGGTTGGCACGCAGAAGAAATCAACTGAACGAGTCCAAAATTGTCCATGGTCTTCTACTAGTAGAGGTGATGGCTATGGTAATCAGCGCTTGCCTGTATAGCTCCGTCTCAGCTCTTCTAAAGACATTTCAGATGTTTGCAGATTGTAATCCTTTTCTCTTTTTTTTAGATTAAAATTCAGATTTTATTTAAAATTCATAAATCAAGAAATAGCATTTTACTTAGAGTTGTTTTTTTTTAAAAAAAGATTTAAGATACAATTTAGGATTAGGTACCAAAGTGGTGGAGTTTGGGCCTCCCATTGGTCCTTACTTTGCCTGGCTTAGGATCAGGCACCTTTATTGATGTTATGCGCCCCACGACCCTTCCTCCCCTGGCAGTATCCCACTACTGCCAGTCCCTTTCTTGTAGTATTATGATAAGTGTTCAAGGTTCACTTATGAGTGAGAACACTGAGTAGTTCTTTGTTTCTGTGATAGATCACTGAGTATGATAGACTCTAAATCCATCCAAGTTGCTGCGAAGTCCACAGATTTGTCCTTCTTTATGGCTATGTAATATTGCCACCAACCAAAGAATACAAAATCAGGGTAACTTTAGATCCTTCCAGAAACCCAGTTGAACTCAGAATCAGTGCTACTTTAATACTTAGCAAAGCTTGGATTGATGGTTCTGGGTTGAGGAAATTGCTCTTTGCTTTACCCAGACCCAAGGAAAATCTTCACTTCTTCCAGATCATTGATGTCCAAAGAGGCGAGTCAACTGATATCTTCAATTATTTGGCAGGGTCTGACTTTCCACTTTACCACTACTAGGTTCCAATCTCAGGGAAGGCAATTCCTTCATCTTTTTTTCCATGTGTAATTTTTACAGACAAGAATCAGCACCTTTTAACTCTCAGAATCCATATTCCTGTCCAGTTCCTCTATGGATTAGATCTCTCTGGGCAACTCATGTGGGTGTTATCCTAGCCTGCCTCCATTCTGTAACTGTTAAGATTTATCTTTAGACTGTGGGCCCTGACACTGGGATGGCGACAAAATTTTGTCACATTTTCCTGCTTCCACAAGTGTTTTCTAAATGTCAGTCATTTGCACACCACTTTCACATTTTTTGCCAGAGTTGCATGCCACTGGTAATGTTATCCTTGTTATTTTTTAAATTGACTTTTTACCTATTCAAATAAATGTGATCTTATTCTATGAAATATCATCTATAAAAATCACATGTTTAAAATCTTATAACCCTATGAAATAGATACTTTCCATACTACAGCATTCCTGGTTCCAAAGTCCTAAGCTACCACTATTTATGTTTCTTCATTATAATAATGATCTCGTCTTGGTTTTGCTATATATTTTTTCCCTTATGGTTCTCTTGTACTTTATTTTCTTCAACCTGTGATTTTATAGACTTTTTCATATGCATTGCAGATCTCATAGACTATAAATAGGGTAATGTCTTTAAAAACAGAGATGAGAAAAGAGCCCCAACGACCCAAGTTCTATTTCTGGCTTTCCTAATATCCAACTTTAAGGTTTTGGTAATCTCTGAACCTCTCTCTCTTCTTGTTAGGATGAGAGAAGTGACCCAGATACTCTAGTTTTCTAAGGTTTTTATGATCTGAAATACAAAATAAATGTATAATTTGAATTCATTTACAAAGAAAAAAAATTAGAACATCTAGTATAATGAACCAGGAATATATGAAACAGTAGCCAACTGTAATGCACTGCTGAGTTTTAACAACAAAATATAAAGTTAAATGTCAACTATATTTTTAATAGTATTTTTTCTATTTTGCATAGAAAAAGATATTTAAATGTTACCAAATGCAATATGAGTTAACTATAAATTTCGGAAAAAAATATTCTACATCAGAAGGAATATTTAGTCTTAAAGTCTTATTTATTTTTAATATTCAACTCTCTCTCTCTTTCTCAAAAGGCCATCAATACTGGGTAGAAGAACAAGTTCATTGAAACCATGGGTGATTGCTGTTATTGTCACAGCTGTTGTATTGGTTCTGGCAATAATTATTGGTCTCCTTGTTTATTTTTTGGCATATGGTAAGTATCTGCCTCATTGTATTATTTTGAAGACCACTCAAGGTATTCAAAAGTCTTAATATTTTCTAATATTTTAGAATATAATTTTCATTCAAATAAATTTACATTCATTTAGAAAAAATAATTCTTTATGTATAAAAATTGCTTCTAGTATTTAAAATTTATCTTGAACCATGCAATAGATTCACAACCTATGTTATATTGTAGTTTAATAATATTTAATACATTGAGAATAAAAAAATATTTTAGTAGCAATTCTAACTTTAAGGTCAATTTACAAGAATACATTGCATTCTAATATTGCTTAATTTACAGATTACATTTTTGAATTATCACTAACAGATGATAATTGTGTCTAGAAACAACTGGCAATCATGGTGACTATAAGTATGTGTGATGTGATTTAAAAAAAGGTTAGAGGGAGGTATTTATCACAGCTATTGAATTTTTAATTCTCAGGAGTTTATTATTATATTACTTTTTTGCTGTCATCCTCTCTGTTTCTCATATTTATACAACTCAAATGAGCTAAACAGAAACTATTCAAATTTGTTCTCCTTTCCAGACCAGAAGCTTCACTATTACCAGGCCTCTTTCCAGATTCCCAGTATTGAATATAATCCTGATTTTTCGGTAGAACACTCAATACTTAAGACTGACTTGAACGAAAAAATCAATAGTGAGGTAAGTCTAAACTTTGCTGGCATCTGTCTTACTCTGGCGATATCAGTGTGATGCAAAGTAAAAGAGTTGAGATCACTTCTAATTGTACCTATGTTACGGTTGCCAGATAAAATACAGAATGCCCGATTACAACTGAATTTCAAATCTTCTCAAAAACATCTTTGTGTAGTCTTTAAAACATGTTTACACCACAAATTCATTTGTTTATCTAAAACTCAAATTTAGCTGTATTTTTATTTGCTAATTCTTGCAACTCTAACTAACATTATCTCAGGAAGCCTAGAAAAGTACATTGGACAAATTCTATATTATATTGCCTTTTCATTGAAATTCAGTGAATTTTACTAATGAAAAAAAGTACATTGGACAAAGGATAATTACATCAGAAACATAAGCCGAACAGAAAAATTAATAGCTCAAATATAAACCAAATTATTAGAGTTACCGGGAAACATAATCATTCAGGCACAACTAATATCACAACATACCATTTGTTAAGCACCTGCTCTAGGGATGACCCTGATACATGTCCCATTAGGCAATTTATAACAAACACCTGCTCCTAAAATTACAGCACAAAAACACACAGTCTAGCTCTTCCATGAAGACTTCAGTTATATACACAACTTCCACGGATCCCAGAATTGACCAAAGATAGCAGATCATTCTTGGCAGGTTCAGAAATATTTATTTAGCCATTTTACTAATTTTGCCTAACAGCTTTTTGTTGTTGTTGTTGTTGTTGTTGTTGTTGGAGTCTCATTTCGATGCCCAGGCTCGAGGACAGTGGCACCCTCATAGCCACTCCAGCGACAACCGGCTGGGCTCCAGCGATCCTTCCGTCTCAGCCTTCCAAAGTAGCTGGTACTACAGGTGCGCGCTACCATGCCCAGCTACTTTGATTTATTGCAGAGACAAGGTCTTGCCAAGTTGCCGGGTCTGGTCTTGAACCCACAGGCTCAGACAATCCACTCGCCTCAGCCTCCCAAATTGCTGGGATTACAGTGCCTAACAACATTAAAAAATTTATTTGACTCCTCAATATTTCAACTACAAAATGGGGATAATTTCACTTACCTCCCAATGTTATTTTGAGAATTACTAAAGTATGTGAAAAGTATGAAAGCTAGAATCTGAAAAAATGGTAGCACTCATTCCAGTGTTCTCATAGAACTTTTCAAACACCTCTTCTAGAGTATTTTCACCTTATGACAACATTATTTTATATGTCTATGCCCTCTCTAGACTTGTGAATTCATTTGGGCAGGGGCTAAGTCTATTACTTCTTTTATTTCTGGTTCCTCTCACAGTGTCTGTACATGTCCAAATTTTATAGGCCACAAAAATACTAATCAAGAAGACAACTAGTACATACATGGCCAATTTACTAGTATTGGTCTTATCTCCTAGAATATAAGTGGAAACAGCATGAAGAAAGGCAACATAGTAATTTATATCAGGGGTAGTAAAACGTTTTCCATAAAATGCAACATGGTAAATATTTTTGAATTTGCAGGCCACACAGTGTCTGTGCAACTACTCACAGCAGTCATTGTCATGTGAAAAGAGTCACGGACAATACATAAACAAACAAGTGTGACTATGTTAAGAAAAAAATGCAGTATGAATTACTGAAAGTTGAATTCTGTAAAAATTTTAGATGTCAAAAATATTCTTCTGTTGAGTTATTTCAACTATTTGCAAGACATGCAGACCATTCTTAGATCATGGGCAATATAAAAACAGGTGGCAGGCCAGATTTAGACTAAAATCTATAGTTTACTAATCCCTGATTTAAAGTAAGGGTTATAGTTATATAAAACACTTACTAAAAGGAAAAAAGTAAAATGAGTTGTATACTTTCTTGTAGAGTTCAATACTTAATGTGCTCAATTGTTGTGAGTAATACATGGCTCTTGAAGCTGTAACTTAAAAACAAAAAGTGATGAAATTGGAAAAATAATGGAAGAAGGCAAGCAGAAAACCTATAGATATTACATATACAGCCATATATGCATATATAGAGAGAAAATATATTTTATGTGTATACAAGAAAATGTAAATGTAAATCTGGAAGTCCATGTACTAAAATGTAAATAACAGGCTCTCCAGACAGAGATTTTAAAATGATTTCAACATTTTTTGTTTTACTGTTTTGTGTTATTTGCTTTTAAATTTTTTTCACAATAAATATGTATTAGTTTTCTCATATAAATGTACACGTGAGTATAGTAAACTATTTCCTTCAAAAACAATTTTTCCTTCATAGCCAGTTAAAAAGAAAACACATAGTCATTTATTTTTGTATAACTATTGACTTCTCAATAAACTTGTGGTCACCAGCCTAACCAGTATGATATTACATGGCACTTCACCAAAGAAAATGTCACAAATCAAGTCAGATGAGTAAAAAGTCCTTGTTCACCCTACACCCAGTTTCACAATTTAGCAGTTCTCTGTTCTGATTTGTAGAACTAACTACACAGACTCAGGTTCCTTAAGGTTTAGCATATCATCAGTCTTTTTCTGACAGGTCAGCTTGATGAGTCAATGGTAATAAACAGGCTTATAAGACCACAGATTCTGTAACAAGCTGAGGCTGTATTAAGAAATAATTTGATCTAAGAATTTATACCACAGAGCAATTATTTCATGTCAGAAGTCTAAAATGAAACACAAGTAGCATTTACAGTCTTATTCTAAGTAATATTTTCATGAATTTTTCTTGGTAAGTATATTGATTTTAGAAAAGGGCCCAGTAAATATGTATTCTCCTCCACTCGCCTACTTTATCTAAAATGTTCCATCAAGACCTGAAAACCTAATCTTTCAGTCACATCCATGAAGATGATAACTGACCTTGAAAGATACTGAAAAATGAGTGGGTGATGAGTTCATCCATACCAATCTTTCAAATCTCTGTGCCTCTAATTTCATCTATGTTTTATAATGGTTATTAAAATACTTAGCTTAATTCAACTCTCCGTATTAGTCATCTTCAACTATTGGACAAACTGTTCAAATAGTAACATCCAATTATAGGAATTTGTGACAGCAGGATTATACCCAAAGAGATTTTTGTAGATAACTGTAAACAAACATTAAGGTATTTGCATTACAGCAGGCTTTATGTAAGTATTTTATTGAAATGTGTTAAATTAATATTTAACAAAGATTTGTTCTGTTGTTTATTCTCTTTTCTCAGATAGATATGATATTTCAAAGATCCGGTTTAAACCATCATTACATCAAGTCTCAAGTCATCAACCTTAGGTAATCACAACTAAGTAATCTTGTATTATGAAAAAATAGCCTTGTATTATTTAGTTATGCTTCAATCATTTGCTTTGTGGACAGGATCTAAAGCTCTTAGACATACCAAGGGCAAAAAAGAGTTTAATATTGCTTGTTACATTTAATTGCTATTCTTTCTATGCAGAGTCCCTATAGTGAGAAAGTTCCTTGATGGAATATATTCTGCTGGTTGTCCTTTTAAAGATTTTTGCATTTCAGATGAAAAGTCGTACAATTGTTAACTACTGCTCTTGATTTTATACACACACACACACACACACACACACACACACACACACACAAGCTGGTGGATTTAACAAGTACTTTTATTTTTTCAGAAAAAAATAGATTTTAGGACTCAGATACTCTCCCCTCCCTGAATATGATCAAGTTTTACAAGCAGGGACTAATTCAGGTATTAACACCTGTATGATATAAGGAGAAAAATCCATGAAAATAAAATGTATAAAATATTTGTGTTGTATTTTCTTGAAGATATAACTAATATTTAAGTAAAAATTATAATAATAATTGTGAATATGACCTCACTCATTCTGGTGTTTTTGTTTTCCAGGCCAAGTAATGATGGTTTAAAAACAGATGTATTGCTTAAATTTCAGTTTACTTCTAACAAGGCGGACACAATAAAAAGGCAAGCTTATAACATTTTGCACCAGAAGTTGAAATCAAATGAAAGCTTCTTGAAGATAGACACTTCATTACCTTATCTTAGAGGCAAGAAATACTATTTTTCTTCCTTATTACAGTTTCTCATTTTAACAATCTTATCGACAGAGAAAGTATCTTTATCGCACTCTAAAATGAAACCATTTTTCATTTTAAGTCTCTCATTTACTTGATAATGAACAAATCACCACACATTCGACACCAAAGATTATCTTTCTTTGGCTGGTATGAAAACAATTATAAAAGGAATTTCATGATAACTCAACTATAATAGTATTATTTTCTTTTTTAAAAAGATCCTAGTGAAATTGGTTGAATTAATTAAGCATGCATGTGATAAAAACCCACACTGTGCTACTGATATGTAGTAAAAATCTATAGTGTCTGGCTTTTCTCTTGAAATACTCTCTTCCAGTCTGAATCAAGAATATGAAAGTGGTGTGGACACATACACCACAATATGTGGTACACAAGCACAATTTGGACCCAATTGGAAGGAGACCCGGAGTCATAAGTTGCACTACCACACCACTTCTGCAGCACACAGGATACATGGAGTAGGCAAAAGGAAAAGGAAGACACCAGACTCTAATAGTTTGTCTCAGGCATAAAGACAACATCTTATTTGCAACACAGACATAAAGACTTGGTTGATAAATGTTTAGAGTATGGGATTAAGCAAAGTTTATTATAATTCAAAAATTGTTGTTAGCCCCCTATGAATTTACTTTGAAGTTGTCATATTTTGCCAGAACTTGTTTAAACTGCAAAATGAGATGATATGGCTAACAGAAAATTACAAGTTACCAACAACTCTTTCCTCAGTACTTTCCCCCCACAACTGTGCCAGAGGGCTAGAATGAGTTTGTTATAATATGTTAATAGAGGAGAAAATTATACTATAGATTTGGCCAAAGTCAGAAAGAAGAAAAAATAGCTTGAAGATAAGAACATGAAATCTAAGTATTGCCCAACACTCAGTTCTATTAATCATGCAGTAGGACAGTGTAAACTCCATTTTGTTGAAGGGATACAGGTATGTGTGAAATGTAGCTTTAATTTAAAATTTTTTCCATTTGATTTTGAGCTCCTATTAAGTCATATGTTAGAAATTTAAACTCATCATTTCTGAATCTATCCCCACTGTCACCCTCACACCCATTCTATGGTGTGAAATGAATAATTAGCCATTTAAAAGTATACAATTCAGTGGCATTTAGTGTGCAATGTTGTGGGACCATTACTTCTACCTAGTTTCAAAACATTTTTATCATGTCTAAAGAAACCCTATGCATATTAATCAGTCCCTCCTCATTGCCTGTTCCTCCCACACTTGGCAACCACCAACCAACTTTCTGTCTCTTTGGGTTGACTTATTCTGAACGCTTAATACTGTAGCTATGCTACCTCTTTTATCCTGTGGGAGGAAGACAACTATTGCATAATGTTCAAGTATGAGATATGGCACGATCACAGAAGTTGATCAGTAGTTTCTGTAGACAAAGATGAGTTTAGGGTAAAACTAAAATTAACTGTGAACTAACCCTAGATTCACCCATCTTTCACTGGTTCATGACCTATGGAGAGTAGCACTAAACTGTGATACACCTTACAATGAAGTGGTTGCAGGACAAGTTTTGCCTCAAAACTATTAAGTCATGTCCTTAATAGATTTGTCTCATAATGAGATTGTAAGGATATAATAAGAAAACAGATATTTGACACAATACTGAGTACATAAGACTCAGTAAATTATTAGTTATCATTGCTGTTTGTTTATTCACTCAGCAAGTATTTCTTGAGAATCTATTTGTGCCCGGAACTAAAGTTTCTGTCTTCATAGAACTAACATTTTAATTGGGGTAAGAAAATAATGACAGGATAAGTAAGTAAACAAACAACACAATATCAAATAATGTGACACTCCATGTAGGTTACAGAAAGTAGAAGGCTACTTTAGATTTGTTGTCATGGAAGTCCTCTCAAAGAAGATTTTTAAGCTGAGATCTGAATTACAATGCAGAACCAACCATAAAAAGGTCAAGGGGAAGCTAAAACAAAGATTGTATGCAGGAACACCTAGACACAGTCAAGAAACAGGAAAGTCCAGAAACAGGAAAGTAACCATTAAGTAACAACTAACAGCAAAAGCAGTTCAACATGACATCAAAGATGTAAATAAAAACCATGTCATGTAAGTCCAGGTAGGAAACTTGAGTTTATTCTAAGAGACAGGCAAGCATTAGTCGTAAAACCTCATTTACTCAAATAAACTCCCTAACTGTAGTTCCCTGCATATGAACTCAGAGGGCCTCTTTAGAGACCAACCTAAATTGAAGACCTATCAGTTTGTAGGCTCTCCAAAACTCCACATCAGCTTGCTTCTGAACAATTAGTATAATTATTCATTATACTAACTGACATGGGAACAATTCAAATAATTTGGGAGGACAGACCCTGATCATGTTTTCTCTATTTAACTTTATGGAAAAAAAAATGACTAAGAGGCTAGCATATCTTGAGATTTGTTAGCACAATGGTGGATTTTGGCTCCAAAGGGAGCATCTGTAGACCAATCTTAGATGCCAGACTTCCAAGATGCTTTGAATGCCTTTACCGTAATTCTTAATGGGGACAGAAGGAAAGAGTCCCCTGACATATACTAGTGCACCTGTAAAATTGCTCCTAGACCTCTTCTGTTTAACTTGTATTTTAATAGATTGGTATGGCATTAATAAACTAGATGCAGTCTTACTTCATGGCATACAATATCCTTCTGTATGCCAATGGTCTTATAATCATGAACCGTGGTTTTCCTAGAATCCACATATAGTCACAAGGTTTAATTTACTTCTAGGTCTCTTCTTTTTGTAGGGTCTTATTCTACTACCTTTAAATTAACATTTTTCTGACTAATGCAATTCCTCTCAACCAGATAAAGTCATATCCTGTTGGAACAGAATTTTAAATTATAATCGTTTCATGTTAAACCACCATCACCTTGGGTTTTTTTTTTTTCCAGATTTGAATGAAGCACAAGCAGAGCACATTCTGAACAGCTGTAAGTTCAAGAATATCACTGGGATGTTTATAGATCAAAAAATAAAAATCAAAGCACTTTTTTCTATTTCATGTTTGCTATTCTAAAACACATCTAAATGAATATATGATTTAATTCTCCTCAAGGGAAAAAATTACTAATAATAATTGGGAATGTCTAAATGGACTCTTTGTAACTTGCTCTTTTTCATAGGAAGTTTCACTGATGATTTCTTTAATGATTTCCTTTTATTTTATTGTATTCATTCCCCATAAACTTTGACATGGAAACTTTGACATTTATTCTACAATAGTATGATGGTTGTAATATTAAACAAGTATTTTTAAAGAGTATAAATTTAATTTTTCTGCAATCAATAGCATATATTTGTCACTCAAAAATGTCAAATATCACTAGGGCAAATGGCTGCTACCCATAAAGAACACGACCCAGAAAAATATGAAAAACTAATTTTAAAGTGAAATTGCCTTAAACACATCAGAAAGAGTATTAAATGATTTTTAAATGCCAGTGCTTACTTAGAATGGGAATAATCACATTTTATCCATGTGAATAATCATTCTATTTAATGTAATGTTAACTTCAATGACTTTTCTTAAGGCAAGACACACCTATAAACGTTTCTATCCTTAACTATGTGCCAAGCATACCTACATATGTTTATAAGTCTCTGGAAACAGCCATCTTATTCCATTCAACAGGCTGTGGTTTAGGGAAGGAGTTGCCATCCATGGAAAGAATTGCTGATGGTCAAATTTCAAGGAAAGGCGACTGGCCATGGCAAGCCAGCTTACAAGTAGACGGCATCCATATGTGTGGAGCATCACTGATCAGTGAGGAGTGGCTTTTGACTGCCGCCCACTGTTTTGATATGTGAGTCCTCAGTTTGTACCCATAAGATCACCAGCTCCATCTCTTTTTCTCCCCTTCTCATCCTGTAGTTCTTTACTCTTATACTTTCTTAACAAACATCTCAGGACTCCCAATGCTATTCATGGCTTAAGAGAAATGATAATTATTGAAAAATAGAAGAAAAAATTAGAGAAAGTGTCTCAGTTCCACCTGGAAATATACTCTCCAGCAAACTAGAAACAAGTCAACACCACCAAAAGTTACACACACCCCACTTCTCCTGAGTTATATTGCAGATTTTTCAAAATTCTTTTCATTGTTTCCCAAACTACAAGTTATATCTGATTATCCCACATGAATATCTCTGGTGCTATACTTTTATTCTTTGTATTTTTAAAATATTTGACATATGGGACACTTGGAAATAATAAAGACATGCAGCAACCCTAGTGAAATTTATATTAAATCAGAAAATATTCTGAATAAATGCTACATAGAAAAGAAGCATAAGAAAACAATATATAACATAGGACTCCAATTTTACCTTTCTTTCTCTCTCACACTCTGTCACTCTTTTTCTCTCCATATCTATATATACATTTATATGAGTGTATGTGTGTGTCTTTGTATTTTCTTCAATTGATTTGTATTAGTTTTATAATAAATGCCAATAATATATCATTTCTTTTCAAAATTACAAACTCCCCTCAAGGAAAGTAATTTAAGCTACCTTGGAATGGGGATTTGTTATCAGTTAGATGAAAGCAAAATAGTCTTAAGAGAGAAGCAGTCCCGATCAACTATCACCTTAAGAAATTTCCCCTTTTCCCATACTTATGTCCCCTGCCCATCCTGATTGCTGGGAAACTTTAGATCAGAAATGAACCAACTGTACTTCTTTTCATCTGTGATCAGTTACAAAAACCCAAAACTGTGGATGGCTAGTTTTGGAAGAACCCTGAGCCCTCCACTGATAAGGAGAAAGGTGCAGTCAATTATTGTTCATGAAAACTATGCTGCCCATAAACACGAGGATGACATCGCTGTGGTGAAGCTCTCCACCCCCGTCATGTTTTCCAATGTGGTGCACAGAGTCTGTCTCCCAGATGCTACTTTTGAAGTCTTGCCTAAGAGTAAAGTGTTTGTCACTGGATGGGGGGCATTGAAAGCAAACGGTGAGTATCTCTATACAACAACAAAACAAATCCTGTATTTCAATGGAGATGTGAAATAAAATGCAAAACCAAAATAAATAAATACAATAAGAAATCAGATACTCCATAGTAAATATGGCAAAACTAACCAAACAAACAAACAAAAAATCAGATGTGATGGATTTCAACAACTTTGACTATTTCCATTACGATTACACAGTACTTATATTTATTGTCTTCTTCGTGGACTATTCTAGAAACTGGTTAGAACTTGTGAAAATTTATTAAAGCATATTTTTTCCACATCTTTTTTTTCTTTTGAATGCTGTCTTTATATGTAGAGATTCTACCATGGCTGCATCATTCATAAAGTATATGATTTGCAAATACTAGTAATGATAACCTTCTGCAATGTGTCATGTAACTAAACAGAAATAGGCTTAAGCAAGCAATCTGAATGTCTGTTCTTTTCCTGATGTTAAATATTAAACAGGGTCCTTCAGATTATATTTATTATTTTTAACTCTCATAATAAACATGTGCAATAGGCATCATTTTCTCCTTTTTTGAGTAGGATGATGGGTAATGACTTTCCTAAGGTCACATAGCTTATAAATAGTGTTTAAACTCATATCTGCTACCCCCAGGACCAGGACCATTAAGCACTGAATTACTCTGACTCATTGCTTGAGTCTGAAACACTCCTTGCCCTCCATCATCCTCTCAATTGTCTTTGAACAATTGTCATTGTAAAAACAAAAACAAAAAGTCAAAAAAACCTTCACCCTTATATGAAGGAATAATACAGTCTTAACCCAGAAGTTGTTAAGGGGCAATGAGAATATAATGGTGAAAACAATACTATGTACAACTAAATAAAAACTTTTCATATAATGCTGAATTAATAAATGCACGGTTAATTATCTATTTCTTATCTTGATATTTGATGCTCACCCTCCTATTTGTTTTGAATAGTAAGTTAAGCTATCACCAAAGATAATATGGTCTTCCTTATAAAGCAATAGGATTCCATTAATATTACATTTACTTCCTAGTAGTACAGCATTGTTCTATGGTGTTCTTGCTAAAGGATTCTCAATTCTCAAAATAGGTGTGTCCTTTGTAAAGTAATGAAGACGATTTCCAAGTAAGGTAAAGTAAGCTCTCAGAGATTTCCCCAGATGATAAGAAATACTTGGTTTTAAATCTAACATTGCTTCTTATTTAACTATGTGATCATGGCAAGACTTCTAACCAGGTAAACTTTGGTTTCCTAAACTAAAGAAGAAGATCCTCACATCTATCTTTGGTGGTGGTTGTTACAAGGATTAAGTAAGATCATAGGAGTAAGCAAGTCAAACATGGTGCCTAGCATATAAAAGCACCTAAGAAGCATAACTTCAGTCTGAGCACTGTTATCCAGTCCAGAATCCTATAACTACAAGATTTAGAGTTTAGCTGGGCTATCCTTTGCAAGACACAACAATTAACCATCACAGCAGCAATGTGGAAGTGTTTCATCTATTTATTTTTTCCTTATTAGGTCACTTTCCCAATGTTCTTCGAGAAGTTGAAGTCGAGATCATAAGTAATGATATATGTAATCAAGTTAATGTATATGGTGGTGCTGTCTCATCAGGAATGATATGTGCTGGATTCTTGACTGGAAAACTAGATGCTTGTGAGGTAAGAATAAACTCAAATCCACAAAAAAGACTCTCCTCAGTAAGATGACCTTACTGACCATAGATTGGTGTCACTTCACATGACTTCATGAAATTAACTTCATGAAGGAAAGAGGAGAATGTAAAGAGAGGGACTGGAAGCATCGTAAGATATATTCCTCAGTAACACTCCATTGAGCAGAATCGTCTGTAAAAAATCCTCACCAGCTGCAAATTATGACACTGATTAGAGAAAAGGACTTGAAGCAAATGGTAGAAACCAAGTCAGGAAGTCATATAATCATTGTTTCAAGCCATAGTCATAACCAACAGTTAGATATATAACCCCTGCTAGTTGAAAGGCAGGCACTGGGAGACAGAATCTGCAGCTACCTCGATAGCCAATAAAGTGTCGCCCCACTGGCGCCTAAACTTACTCTAAAGTATAAGCTCACAGATCATATGTAGGAACTAATTGGATAAATGGCCTTTTTCTCAACCCTACAAAACTTTAATTTTAAATATTGAATATCTGAGGAGACTACCAGGGTTAACGTCTGACTATGTAAAGAAATCAGAATAAATAACTAAAATAATAAAAATTTTACCTACAGCATTTGAAACTGGGTTTGACCGTTTAGTGATTCTTTGAAGAATTAAGAATGCCTTTGAGGGAGAAGAGATGAGTAATTGATGTTTTCAGGGAAGGTCTCAGTGGAAGTGGTGAAAATTGAGTTGATGTAAGATCGACAAGCAAGAAGAATAGATAAGGGATGGCATTCCTGGCAAAAGAAATAAAGTCACAGAAGGAATAATGATAGAAAAATGGTATATTGTTTATAAAAGGGATAGATTGCATTCACCATGCTTGAGGATTCTTTTTAGTAAGAGGTAGGTTGAAAAAAAAAAAGAATGGCTTTGACACAATGACACATATGTGTATTTTTTTATATGCAAACATCGCTACTGATCTGCCTTGAGTTGTCTGTCATGTGATGGGAATAGTATTCATTCATGTATTTGTTCAAGTTTTTTGTGAACTGCAAGGTACTTCAGCAGTTACTGGAGGAAAGCATAAACATTTTATAAAATCACAATGAATTTACAATCTAATAATATAGCATATATAATATAGCATACAAATAACTAAAACAAAACAAAGACCACGATTTGGCTACATAATCTAGAACACAAGGTCCCCTTCCATTCACTTACTTCCTGAAGAGAAGAAGAAACAACATGCGTGGTCCAAGATGCAACTGGATCCCATAACTTAGAGGAAAAACATAAATTAATTCATATAAAAACAGATGTTCTCTTTCCATTGATTCATATTTTCTTACTTTCACTACTAGTGTAGTAAAATAGTGAGGACTTACATTAGGATGTGAGCCTAAGGGAAAGAAACTTAGAGCTATTTCTTTTAGTAGACCAGGGCTTTTATCCTCTGTCCATTGAACACTGAAAGAGACTTAAGAATTACAGGAAGGAAATGAAAGAAAAGGGAGCTAAGATATAAGACTCTAGAACACCCTGCCTGCTTCAAACAGGATTATTTATCTTATTTTTAAAAACTCCATAATGGGTTTCTACATCATACTTCTTTTGAATGAATAGTTCTATTGCTAAAAGATAAATCTAAAATCATTTGTCTAAATCTTGGATGAAAGACACCAGGGAAGTTCTCGTGTTTTCTATACTTTAAACCAGTTCACAAGGGCTAGAATATCCACCTTAGTGGGGGAGCAAATTCCTTTCAGCAATAAATAGTGCACAATTTCTTGTAGAACCCTTTCCATATCCTCTTTGAAACCTATTGCTGCATAGTGATACGACATCCAGGACACTTTTCTATCAATTAAAGTGAGTGGAGCAAGACAAGATTCAAATTCTCAGCAAGAGATTGCTTCTAGCTAACAGAATTAGGAGAGGCTGCATGGAGGAAGTGACCTGTTAATTGAATCTTGAGGTCATCTTTCATGTAAGAATGACTGCCTCAACTTAGCTTCAGTCTGTGATTCCTGTTTAGACGGAGCACAATTTAAGGTTCTATGAGAATAAAACCTAAGTTTGACTCACATTACCTCACAACTGAAGGCATTAGCAAGGAGTAAGTAATAAGCTCAATTATCATATTAATACTAATGTTATATAAAATGGAATTCATTTTGCATATGTAAAATGGAATTCATTTACGTACTTCAATTCAAAGTATTAATTTATTGGGCATTCAGATGTTGATTAACTAATTTCTGATACTGTTTTATTTATCAAATTGACCATGTTTTTTTCCTTCTTCTTCTCCAGGGTGATTCTGGAGGACCGCTGGTAATTGCCCGTGATAGAAACATCTGGTATCTTATTGGAATAGTAAGCTGGGGAATAGACTGTGGAAAAGAAAACAAGCCTGGACTTTATACCAAAGTGACTCATTATCGGGACTGGATTAAATCTAAAACTAACATCTAATGCAACAACCATCTCGATGTCAAAACTATAAATGTCATGTGTGGTCTCCAGAAAATTGTGTTTAATGTGTACTGCCATGTGTAATGTTGAGCGCAAGATGCAAATAAGTGTGATCTGATGACTTTCTCCTTAAATTTGAGAAAGGTAGGCTTTCTCTCACACCATCTGAAGTGTTTTACTGACTATGAGCATAAAAGATACTGTCAACTCCACAAAGATCTACTGCTGCTGCTAAGTGTCTCTGATTTGCTCATCTTTCTGTCTCTACTGCATAATTATTCCTTTCAGAGTTATCCAGCAGTTTGATCATAAATACCAACTGGCTAAGAAGTCTTCACTTTTCCCCTGACAGAGCATGCCTCCTTTCTCCTTTCTCTTCAAATAATCCTCATTAAGAATTATCAGGTTCACTAGACTAGTCTAGTCAAGATTTTTAGTTTTGGCCAGTGCTAGCACGAATAATGCAGGAGTCACTAGACTTTAAACTAAGAGTTAAGAGATACCACTGCAGTGAATCCATTTCCTTTTGCCCTGAGATGTGAGTTTAACTTCTTCAACCTTGAAAAAAGTTGACATATATATTTACACTCAGTGGTGCAGATTTTAATATCTTTAAACAAATTATACTGATGTTTATTTGGGAACAATAAATAAATCTTTGGGTCAGACAACAGGAGAATTGGAAATAGAGGGGGGACATCCCCCCAAAATGAAATTATTCTTTAGAGGGCAGGTCTCTTGTAGTACAGACTTCCCCCACTAGGCAAGTGTTTTAGGAACCCATCAGCATCAGTTTATCTACTAACATTGTTGTGAGAGACTGAGTTCAGCTTCAGTGAATTTTTTTTGGAGATTTTTTTCAGCAAGTTTGTTCATTTCATGATAGGTGATTTATGAACATACCTACCCACATCAGGCTGAGCGTTCAACAGTTTTTAACCAAAAGCATCATGATGAGCCTGTGCCTCACCCTCCCTTTTCACCCAGTCTCTCCTCGAACAACATTTTTTTGTTTGTTTCCGTGGATAAAAATGGAAGCCGAAACTTTACATGCATGCAGCCTACTTGCATAGTAAATCCTCACTTACACCCCACAACTCTATAATAAATAAATACTTTTTAAAAAAAATCCTCAAAGAGAAACATTTTGCCAATGTGAAAGAGGTGAAACATAAAACGGCAGAAGCATTAAAAGTGTCAAAATTGATGGGTTCAAAAACTGTTTTGAGTAGTGGAAAAACATCTCCATCCGTATATTGCATCAAACAGAGAGTACTTTGAAGGTGACTAAGTTTAAACATGCAAGAATAAAAACACAATTTAAAAAAAATAAATTCCAGTTTGGGGGTCCCCATTCCTTGTATTGCTTAGCACAGTTTTCTGCTTTAAAGATCCCTTAGAGGCAGGGCTCGGTGGTTCAGTCTGTAATCCCAGCTCTTTGGGAGGCCTAACCGAGTGGATTGCCTGAGCCCGCGGGTCCAAGACCCGCCTGGGAAACTTGGCGAGACCTCATCTCTACAAATCAAAAATTATCCAGGCGTGGTAGCGCGTGCCTGTAGTTCCAGCTACTTGGAAGGCTGAGGCGGAAGGATCGCCGGAGCCCAGCAGGTCGAGGCTCCAGTGGCCAGGACGGTTCCATTGCACTCCAGTCAGGGTGATGGAGTGAGACTCCAACTCAAAAAAGAAAAAAGAAAAAAAAAATCCCGTTAGAGACTCAGAAACTAAAGGCAGAGTTGCTTGGCATTTTTGTTAAGATAAAATGAAAAGAAGCAAGGACTCAGGGAGAAGAGGCTATTTTTAACTCCATTTCTAAAAATGAGAGAAGTTTCTATCTTTGTGTAAATCTATTTTTCATTTTTGTTTTATTATCCTTTAATGTATTTAAAGTTTTATTTTCAACCAACAATTAAAAGACCTGCAGAATGGGAAGTCAATTTGTACTAGATATTAATAAACATCTTCCATGAGAAACCAATATAAAATTAGACATTCATAAACAATTTGCTATGAGATTTTGGCAAAAACCTCATTGTATAATATTTAAATTTGTTTTTAAAAAATGAGTTGCATCATTTTTTTAGAATCGTATTTATAGAAAATACTTAGACAATGAAGAAAACATCTTTGAATAGTTTAATTTATTACAACATTGTCATTTTTATATGTATTTAATTGTACATTTTGAAGTACTGTACCCCACTGTAGACTAGTATTTAACAAAACTCAAACTTGTTCTGTATGTCTAAACCTTTATTGATCTCCGTTTTACAATTATTTCAATTAATGAGATCAGTTCTGTGCCAAGATTTTCTTTGGGGTTTTATGTCAAGTTAGAGCCTCTCTGACCCACATATTGTACCTGTTAACATATATTTATAGTAATAAACTGAAATTTATCCTCTTTGAATCATCACTATAATGTAAGATTTCTCAACCTTGGTGCTTGGCATTTTGACACAGATAATTATTTGATGAGGGGCAGGGAGAGACTGTTCTGTGCATTGCAGAATGCTTGGCAACATTCCTTAACTCTACATGCCACATGCCAGTAGTACCCTCCCACTAAGTTGTAACAACCAAAAATTATTCTAGACATTGCCAATTGTCCCCTGGCGAGCAAAATCACCCCCAGTTAAAAACCACAACAGGGTCATAAATCCAAGGGGAAAAGTCACTGTTAAACATCATGCACTCACAGTTTCCTTACTTGAGTTTGGAAATATTTTTCTTCTCTATCTTTTCATAATGGTGGTGCATTGAAAATGTTAAAAAAAAAAAAGTTTATGAATACATTTACATCCATACAATCCTAGTCAAATTAATTTCATTTGGAAACCGAAACTGGTTGGAAGAAGTTGAAGAAACAAGGCTGTTTGAAAGATAAGCTGCTACAGGAAAATAATTCATAAATAAATACATATATATACATGAAAAGATATACGGCAAGGAGTCCATCAAATGCCTGACTCCTGAATAATTGTACCTAGTATATTCTATGTAATACCTTCAGGATGCATTCTTGAAAAGGGTTTATGTATTCAGCTGAGGCAGAAGGGCTTAGCACATCATCACCCATTAACACAGAAGAGAAGAGAATAGAAAATTGCATAATATCACCATGCACTAAAAGCTACACTATCCAATACGGTAGCCACTAACCAGATGAGCCTATCTAAACTTAAATAAATGAAAATTAAGCAAATTAAAAATTCATTTCCTTATGTTAATCACATTTAGTCATTAGTGTCATAATAATCACATTTCAAGCACAAATTAGTCACATGTGGCTACCATCTTGGGCAGCATGAAGATTGAACATTTTTATCATATCAGAAAGTTCTACTGCATGTCACTGACCTAGAGCATTCTAGGAACTTATTTACATAATGAACAATTCTTTCATCTAACAAGTGTTTTTTGAACCCCTATGTGTCAAGTATTGAGTATTCTAGATGCTGAATATACAATTGTATATGAAATTAAGTTCCCACTCTCAAGACCACATAAAGAGATAAAAATGTTTTTGATAACTGCTACTGAATGTAGCAGACTATTTGGAGCATGTGGTTGGCCAGGTGTAGCACAATTGTTTTTAGGCTCTGTAGTGACAGTGGCCACTTGTGCAAAGGGGCCCATCAGAGAACTACAAGTAAGATCGAAGTGATCAGAATTGGTCTTTCAATTTGCTTCAGAAAAAAAAAATGCCAGAACCTCTCCACTTTAAAGGATCAAAAAAAGTTTTTTATTTTTTTTACACCAATGGTGTATTTCTTATAACCCAGAAAGATACATGAATGGCAACCAAGCAAAAAAAATAACTAAAATGCGCATCAGAGTGATTTAGTCACACAGGGTAAAAACAACAAATGATCATTTAAGTAAGCAGCCAACCCAAACAAAACAAGAATTGTATTGTACAATCTATTAATGTCATTCTATTGCAGTTAAATCCAGGAAATGTGAACACAGCAGGTCACCATGACCTGCACTGTGTGCAGGAAGGTCAAAAAACTTAGACCAAGTGTGTTATTATGCTGCCATCTGCTGTTCCATGTTATTTTCAATGAGTATAGTTTTTGTACCATTAACCCTTGAACAACACAAGTTGTTCAAGTGCATGGGTTCACTTATATGCAGATTTTCTCCACTCCTGCCATCCCTGAGACATCAAGACCAACTCCTCCTCTTCCTCCTCCTCAGGCTACAGGCTACTCAATGTGAAAATGATGAGGAAGACCTTTATGATGAACCACTTCCACTTTCCACTTATGAATATAAATATATTTTCTCTTCCTTGTGATTCTCTTAGTAACATTTTCTTTTCTTTAGCTTACTTTATTATAGTACATTATGTGATATATGTGACAGACAAAAAACATGTCAATAGACTATGCTATCTATAAGTTATACAGTCAACAGTAGGTTATTAGTAGTTAAGTTTTGGAGGAGTCAAAAGTGGTATATGTAGATACCACTCCCATATTGCTTCAGGGTGAATTGCAATTTCACTTCAAGCTATAAAGTTACATGATCTGTCCCCCAATATAAAGTAATTCAAAGAAAAATCTAGCAATCACTTCCTGATTTTCTCCTAAGCAAATCAAAGTTTATACAAACTTTTGCAAATTCTTTTACATGGTTCCTCCTGTTTATACAAACAGAAATAAATAGATCTATTCATGTATAAGCAATTTGCCCACTTTTGTTTCAAAATGGGACCATTTGGTAAGTGCACAGCTGTGTGTGTATGTGTGTATATGCATGTTTTGTGTATATGTGTGTGTATGTATACATATATATTAATGGACTTTTGTTTCTGCCAAAATGGTGAACTAGCACAGGACACTGGCTCCCTCCTTCAAATCAACCCCAAACTATAGAAGAAGTAAATATGGTTTCAGGTGAGAACTGAGAAACTGAGGCTGTCTTGAACTGAAGCGTGGGAAGCATAGGTGGCTGAAGCCTAGAGTAGAATGAGAGAACAACTAAAACAAAAGCTT